TGTGTGTGTGTGTGTGTGTGTGTGTGTGTGTGTGTGAGAGTATATGTGTGTATTGGTGTGTGGTGGGAAATACCCCTCTTTCATGTGTGCTCTGCAAACTTTAGCTGTGAGAGCTCTCTCTTGTGTGTGTGTTTTCAAGTGGGACAGAGGTTTTTGGTGCCTGGCTGTACCAGGTCTGCTGTATGTGTGTGTGTGCGTACACGTGTGTGTGGGCGTGGATGAGCGTGTGTGTGTGTGTGTGTGTGAGAGAGAGAGAGAGATGGCCCTGTGCTGTTACTATGCTAGAGCTTTTGGTATGGAGTCCTGGAAATCTCTGCAAAGCTAGCCGAGCAGCTAGCACAAACGAGTTAGACAGCTCCACTGAGGAGTATCAGCTGATTAGAGTTCACAGACATTTGGTGTCCCTTGTTGCTTGTGGATCGCTAACTCAAGGCCTGCTGAGTGATAATCCATTCGGCTCTTACCAAGCCTGAAGTTAGCAGGCAGTGTCTGTGGAAAGCTAAGTAGGGTGGCTAATGCTCCTTAAAGCTGATAGCTGTGTTTAGAAACAATTGGAAACTCCTAGTTAGACTCATAAAAATGTGATCCATACTCAGTTTAAATAGAAGGCTTTTATGATTATAATAACAGAAAAGCAAATTTAATGAATTCAAAGGGAGTGAAACTAGCTGTCTAGCCAGTCTGAACAATAAGAGTGATTTTCTTCCTCTGAATTAAGTGTGATCCCCATCACAAAATCCTACAATTCACCATTCCCACAATCCCCTGTCAAATCTAGAAATTATCCGCTGGCTACATATTAGCTAGGGTATGACACTTTATTAAAGGCTCAGAAGAAAATATATATCTGAATATAAGTATATCTTAGTATAAGTATATATTAGTTTAAAATATATACCACAGTATAACTTGATTCCTGACTGATACTGCAGTCAGACAGCCCTGTAGTAACAAATGCCATTTGCTGTCCCCCTGTCAGTGATGGTCATTAAAGTTATGCATTAGCCTCAACTTTAATGATGGCAGGTAATTTCACAAATTCATTAATCACTTAAAGTACCCCCTGGGACTTTCAGCTCAGAGGAATGTGTACCTCCTCTGGAGGATCATAGAGATCAAGGTCTATAAATACAGCGTCTTTGGCTTCACACTGTATTTGAAATAAAACATCGCGTATGTGTTTTACTTACACTGCCTCTTTGTGGCTCATGGTGCGCGGTGGACAGTAGGTTTTTGTGTGGACATGTATGTTAACTTAAACAGTTGTAACTTTTGGCCCGGTATGGGCCCTTGGTGTGTGTGTGTGTGTATGTATGTATGTATGTATGTATGAATGTGTGTGTACATGTGTATGTGTTTGCGCGCACACGTGTGCATGTGTCCATCTGTGTATGTGTTTGTTCATGTATGTATGTGCATGTCTGCATCTGTGTGTGTGTGTGTGTGCGCGTGCTCGCATCTTTGTGGCTGAATCTACACCCTCTGCATTACAAGTGTGCGCTGAGGAAGTGCTCTGGGGCCTCATGTTTAAACTGTCAGACCCTGCTATTTTGGGACAAGGATCCTTAGTGCAAAAGCTGCCTCCGAGTAACCCCCTTCCTCCTTTGTATGACCAGCCTCTCCCCTGTCAGGTGGTCATGGTCAAGGTGCGGTTTGACTATGTACCGGTAAGCCTCTTTAACGCTGTGGATCTGAACAGGGCTAGCACGTGCTATCGCCAAAGCTGGCTGACCTGGTATGGTAAGATCGTGCTTGCATTACATGACCCACGACAAGAGCTTTTAGCATGTGGTGTTTGATTGAATCCAGGGGACTCCTCTGACAGACTGGACTGCTTCTGCGGTCGAAGGGTCCCCCACAGACACAGAGACACACAAATGAATTCTGGACATGCGAAAAATGCAACGGGGTACTGTTTTTCAATGAGAACAATGCTTTGCAATACAACAGGGACCAGCAAAATCGAGTCCTCAAGTCTGCAAAAAAACTTGCTCCGTTGTCTGTCAAGTTTACCAGATGGAATATGATGTTGCAGTACATCAACCAATAAGATTCACCCTGTCCTGTCAACGTTATCTGCGCAAAATTTCTGTCAGAAACAAAGCACATTTATATTTCATTCTTTTTGTATTAATTATTAAAAATAAGATGGGTTACTCTGTTTAAGTACTACCACAACTCAGCGTGAGTCCACCAACTTGGCAAACTAGAACACGGGCTACCGTGTGTGTGTGTGTGTGTGTGTGTGTGTGTGTGTGTGTGTGTGTTGTGTGTGTGCTTGTCTGCTACTCTTCTCCTTGTACGGGCCCTGAGGATGACATTTTCCTAGCGACACAACATATTGCCTCCAACCTCCCTGCGGCTGTTTGTTGTGATCAGCGATGGTAACCTATTCCCATCTGTGTTTATAGCAGAAGTTCAATGTGCCAACGGCAACGGAAACAGCTCAGTCATGCAGCTCTCTGTCTGCGCCCACAGCCCGCCTGTAAGTAGGCCAGCTTCTGAAACGCTTGGAGGGGGGGCTTAAGAAACATGGGTCAACACAACAAGGAGAGGTGACAGAAAAACATCTCAGAGTCAGGAAATTACTGTACTGCCATTGAGTTAGTCGGGCTGGTGGTCCATTTTATAGTTTGGAAGTGGTGAGTGGGGAGCTTAGTTAAGCCCCTGGTTTCAGTTACCAGAGCCCAAGTACAACCTGTTTTCTGTGGGGGTTTGTTGCAGTGAGACACAGTGCTGGATTACATAGCACAGGCCTCTGTTCTGATTGGTGCTGCAATACGTTAGCTTCAGCGACTTCATTAGCTTCTGAAATAGCGATGACGTTCTAACAAAAGTGCACCATGGCCTCAGGGCTTACCAAAATCTCTAATCTCCTGCCTGCTCTCTCATTAGAGCAGGTTCTCTTGATGTCTTATAAATCCATGGTTCTCAGTCTTGGTCCTGGGGGATTCTTTTGAATGCTGATTTCCATTCCAGCTACAGATGTAATCCCTGAGTATCGACATGAGGCTGGAAACTGTCCCAAGACGTTTTTTAATGTCTTGATGGATGATGTTCCTTCTTAGACCGCAAAATATGTGAAATATTCATGCATGTCTTTAGGAGTTGCCGAAATATTCACACTCAGGACTTTCACTTAACCAGATCGAGTAATATGTTTATCTTTATACGGTGCTGTGTGGCAAACAATTCCTTTGGAAAGAGGTTTGATTTTTTTAACTGATCGAATTATGGACTGACAGTTGAATGAGTACCATCCTAGTTTGTGTCTATACAAGATCGGGAACCTGAACTGTTTGAAAACGAAGAATTCAAATAAAACCCAAATGGCATCAAGTCAAACCTGCGTTGTGTTGGTAAGTCCATAATGAAAAAAATATGAAAAAAAACCTACTGTGTTCAACAGCCTTAACTGATTAAGAGATTGGAAAAAACAGGAAAAAACTCAAGGATCCTTCAAAGGCAATGCTGCGAGTCACTGCTCTAAACAAACCTTAAAAAACCAAATAGGAAAATCAGAGATCCTGGAGAACTGAATGGGCTATCTATGTAGGTAAATGGGGAGCCAAAATGTCCCTGGGTAGTAAACTTGATTGATGGCAGAGGGACCTCCAGCTGAGGTTTATCTTTCCCACAAACCATTGCAGAGAATTGGATATCTTCTTATGCTTTGCTAATGTTTTGATTTGTCCCCGGATTTGAATTCTGTTCAGGTGCTCATCGCTGTAGTTGGTTAATCGAATAAACATCTTAAGCTACTCTTCAAAGGCATGCGATGCCAGACGTAAGTGTGGTTTTTAATATTATTTCAACATTTCATGCTGGTTTGTATTCGCAACATGTGTAGATGTGTGGTTTTTAATAATGTGTCACTGCATGACTGACCACACTGTGAACCCGAAATACAAAGTGCCACGCTGCCCTTACAGATTGGTACAGTCCAAACAGGTGTACCATTACACTGCTAATAAATACATTACAAATAAGCAATGTGTGTAATCTTTAGTTAAAACTGCAATCAACAGCTTTCTTAACCCGGTCAGCTGTGACGTTAACGGCTGTTTTCCTAATAATAAGTAATAAACTTGTAGATCATTTGAGGTTTTTTGGTGTAATAAGTTATTTTTTGGCATTAAAACCGCTCCTTATCCACATCCTGCTTGTCTAGCTTATCACTCACCATGTGGAGTTCTTGACTGTTCTCAGAAGTCCTCAGAAAAACCTGGGTTTCATTTGACATTATGTTATGTCAACACTGACCCGACAGAAGACACGTCACTCTTATGGTAATCCTCACTTCTAATGACGGCCGTTCTACTATCCTCTCATTCTGGGGAAAAGAGATTGCAAATATGAATCCCAGTAATGGAAACAGCAATTACTTGTTTTCCGCATTGTAGTTTTCTGTTCTGTAGTGATTCTATGGCTGTTTCTGTCTGACTGAGGAATCCAGGCTTCATATAGCTGTAGATACTCTCTCGACGGTAGATAAATGACAAGCCCAGCTGATCTCAAAGGCTCTCATCATCGCATGCTGTTATGCTCTTATGTTCTTAACTCTTGTGTATGATAAAGATTTCTGCTGAGCAAATCAAAGCTGGTAGGGACCATATGCTCAAGAGAACATGCTGAATATGGAATTTAATTTGTTTTGTTTTGGGAATTTCTCAAGCAAACACTGCTACCATTATCCAGGCAAGGATATATAGTGCATATACTGTACCACTGTACTCACCTGGAAGGCCAGGGGAAGATTCTACTTCCTGCTGGTCAAACAGTGGTATTTCAACACAGAGAGCTACCACTAATCAAAGGAAAGCTGAAAACCCTGCTGGTTTTTGAGGGCTTGTTTAAAGTAGCCTTAACCTGAGGAAATATTTTCGAAAAGGTCATTTTGGATACATTTATCTGATGCCCTTATCCAGTGCAACTTACACTGGTAAATGTTTTATACACTATCCACTCATACAGGTGGATACTATCTTCTACAACAGCAGTAATGTAGGTAGGAATTGAACCAACAACCTCTGAGTCACAAGACCAGCTTCCTAACCATTATACTATACTGTATCCCTTAAAGCCTCCTACCCCTGGTGGGGGAATGGTAATACGGTTCTGTTTATGTTGACACATCCCAGAACGGCTGCAGCTAACAGTGCCAAGGCTGTGATCATTGATAACTCCTCCATGCAAGCTACTTCCTTTTCGGAGGAACACAGCCGTTGCAGGTGACTGCAAAACAAAGGTAGAGTTTATTTTTGTTTCACTCCTCTAGCACAAAATTGATTCTTAAATGTCAGTAACTTTCGTCGTCGTGGTGTAGAATCACAAAGAAAGGCAGTGATTGCACATTTGGTGGTATAACCTTTTGGAGGCAGATAGTATTCCGGCTCTGATAGACACGAATCATTGCACCTGTTTCTTCCTCAGCAGGTCATTGGTCAGATCAGATGCGGCGAGGGGGTGATGTGGGCGGGTGCAAGACGGCGTCGGCCATCTCTCACTTCCGCACATCAAGATCAAGGTTCACCGAAAGCTGAAAGCTATGGTGAACAGGGGTCAGATTGCCATAGAGAAACTCCCACATGTACATTTGTCTTTAGTGCAGAAAGTCATTCATTTTCCACTTCTGGATTCTCATTCAGCCTCAATCGTTCTGGTTTTATGGCTTCTGGTTGGAACCTGTGGGACTGTGCAGTAGAGAGCACTGATTAGCTTTGTATTCTGCTGCCTGTTGTCTGTGTGATACCAAGATATTTGACGGCCGCTCACAGGGCTGTAAAAAGGGTATTTTGGAGTATCAGCTAAAAGACTGCAGGAGAGCAGGTTGCAATTAGCGAATCGGATGTTGGTCGGTGTTATCTTTAACAGGGCTTTTTTTTTGACGTGAGCAGTTCCAGTATGTTCCAGTGATGTGAGAGTGAGGTTTGATTTAAACAAAATGGGAGGAGCTACAGTATTGAATCAGTGACTCAGTCAGTTGGAAACATTGGAGAGTAACATTTTTGATTGGTCCAACCGAGTCAATGTCTGACAGAGTGTGGCACCGCCCCGATATCATTTAGTGAAACCTCGTTTCGACTATCGTTAGCCTCGGCTCCCGCGTGTGTGACCGCTCAAGAATGGGCCAAACGGAGCCTGACCTCAGTGCCTCAAATTAAAATTCCTCCCCGTCAGGCGAGCAGGACACAGTTTGCCGGGCTGAGCGTGGCGGCACAGAACTGGCACACAGAGCTCGCCCGCTGGTGCTGGCGAACAGAGTGCCCGCTGTTCTATCGCCCGCTCTCAGGACCACGGTGTGCTGATCGAGCCGCCATTGAGGCCAGGAGAAACAGGGCAGAAGAAATGAGGAGCCGCCATCCCCCCTAAAACCAGCAGGGCCGAGCGGAGGGGGGCAGGGCGAGGGGGCGAGGGGGCGGTGGGGAGGGATCCCACACAATCACTGCAGTTCTGACAGTAGTTATAATCTATAATCAATGAACGCACGGTCTTTCACCTCCTACACCATCTCTGCCGGTAATTTACTGCCCTATTCAGGGCCATAATTTGTCTGGTCGTGTTGGTATATATCACCATGGAAACTGAAGGGGATCTCACAAAAACTGCTTATGGCTCCTACCAGATATCTGCAGTGAGCACTCCTGTGGTGGGACAGTTTAGCATTAGTCTCTCAATTCCCACACAGCTCTTTTTTCACAGGAACCTTGTATTATGTGCTTCCATATCTCACATAAATATGGTTTACAAATGCTGTCATCCATTTAACTGTGTACAGATAAAAATGACTGCATATACTGCCTATGGGTTGACATTGGTTAGATTGGACTTGGGTGCACTTCTGTGTCTCTGAGCTGTACTAAGGGAGCAATCTCAGATCTGTCTGAGGACTTACATACATAAAACGGTATGTATTATGCAAGGGAGATCAAGTTGGACTGGATAAAGACTTTATAATTTGAAAAATATACCTTTTACTCATTGTTTTCTGAGCTTAACTGGTTAGAGTTCCAGGTATTTTCATTTTTATTGGTAGTAAGATATTTTTTAAAAACAAATCTGGTATGAAGACACTCTCATTATTTACACATTGGAGAAATAGCACATGTCAGGTATGTTATTCAGAAATACACAACAACTGTGCCTGACATGACAGAGGAACTTAGTTCTGATGGCCATTAGACTGTCTGTGAATCCCAAGAGAAGGCCTTAATGCAGCCAAAGATTACTCGACCTCCATACGCCATTTTGATTTCCCATGTGGAGAATGAAGCACTGAAAAACACTCACACCGGTCTTGCATTCATTAGAATTAGCCTTGAAATCTTAGCCTCTGAATTTTTTTGATAGTTCATCTCTGCAGTTTGGCAAGATTGGCTGGTCATGAGGTGCATTGAATGAGTTCCTGAGTTGACTCCTTGAAATAGAGTTTTATGAGACATTAATGAGCACATAGTAGCAGAGCTGTTTGGGACAAAAGGGGAAAAATCGGAGGCAACTAACGCAAACTGAAATTAGCATGTAACTTTTGAGTTACTTTTGATCACTGCCCCCGGTGGCAGAAGCTGGGTATTGCAGGAGTAGGCCCAGCTGGGTGTGAGTAGGAGACCAGTTCCTCCAGTCCAGGCTATCCGAGTGCCGGTTCAGCAGCACGGATTCTCTGCCCCCCCCACCTCCACTTTCCCCTCCCCCCTCCAGAGCTCAGCAGACCCCCGTAGGCCACATGGGAGGCTAGCAAAGACTCTCAGAGATTATCCGACATGGATTAGCTGGCGTAGCATGGCTACTTCAGCAAGGAGAACGGCCTGTGAGAGCTTGCCTTGAGCTTAATTGGATGTCTGCTTGATGGACCCCTGAGTACGCCCTGCTTGCATTATTTCTTCGCATTTTATGCTGATTGTTTGTGGAATTTGTGAGGGCGAACACGCAGCATAGCAACGGCTACGTTAGCACTGTTACTCAGTTCGCCTTCAGGTTGGGGGTGAGGGTTGGGGTTGCAGTGGATGGATAGAGGGTAGGAATGTAAAATACCGTTTGTCACAATGAGCCTTTACATGCTGGACTTTAGCTTGTATGAGCCCTGAGCGTTTTTATATTGTGGGCTAAAAATTGTATGCAGTTTCACTTGAGACCAAGCTGCTTCAGTTTTCTACGGACAACAGACATGTCACCCAAGACTGTCCATTGTCTTTGGATATGACACACAAATGTAAAGTAATCAAATATTCATAAATTAGATAGTATATAAAATAAATAAATAGTTTGCATGATACAGCTGATTTTGAACCTTGTAGAGGAAAGTAATACCGTTAAAAAACACACCACTCTGAACCAGTCGAAGGACGAATCACCCCTTTTCAGCGCAGAAATTTCCAGCTGTTGGTAGATTTGAACACATACGCTTTCATGTACCAGTTGTCTGACATATTTTCCCCTTTCTACCGTTCGCTGGCACGAATTATTGGCCTTTGTGATTGACACGGCGATTTCTGCCAGAGACAAAGACCTGTTTTAATATTCTCCAGTGGGTTTTTAATTGCTTCCCCTGCTGGTTTCAAGACGGCACGTGTCCAGCGTTTTTCTCCGATGTTTCTTATTAGTGGCCTCGCAGCCGCTAATTGGACAGAGTGGGAGCTCAGAAAAAGCTCACAGGTGGACTAGAATTCATTCAATTCAAATTAGCACGGAAATGTTAACGGAGTGTTTTCATTTTGATCATTCTGGAGCGGTATTATCTGAAATGATACTTGCTCTGTGTCAGGTATGAAAGTATTAGCTCATACCATTTTTGGCCAGGCTGGGAAATGATTTCCACTTTTATAGGTCGGGCTTTTTCTTGCATATTGGCACAGAGAGGTGTGTGAAGGAAGGAGAAAGTTCAATTGGCGGTTGCTGAAAAATCACTCACCTTTTATTATAGATATATTATTAGTAAAATTTTGTTTTGGCTGTTATGTAATATTATATTAGTCATAATGGAAATGCACCTATAGAAAGAGCTGAAAGCATGTTGGTTCTGCTGGATAATGGACTTGCTCGTAGTCGGTCTTTATTTAGAGTCGTTAATCACGAAACTTTGACATTTCATGACATACCTTATGAAGCAGCTTTATTGTTTCCGTGGCTCGCTGACAGACATCAGAACTGTGGGTAATTTCAGTGTCATTTCGGGGGGCCGTATAGGGGAGCAGGAAGTGAGGCTCCCGCTGGTACCTCCTATGGAGCCCTATCTGGGAGGCCCGGAGGTGCAATCACGTCCACGCGTCGGTTTTATCTCCCTTCTCTCTTCTGAGGAGCTCACACCTCAGAAAAGAAGAGCCACGGTAATCCCCTCTCCTCGAAAACTAGGCCACGGCTTCTCTTCGCCGATACGCCGTTTACTTTAAAGAACGGCAGCCCTCAGATTCCCTCCTTTTTTCTTCCATAGATCCATAATGATGCTGAACCCAGCCTGACTCATAAACAAAACTTCCGTAAACAGAAAGACAGCTTCACATAGTAATTAGGCTTGGCAGGGCTTCTCTGCCATCTGAGCCGTTGGACCTGAAATGGGCTTGACATAAATATGACATTAAATTTTATAGCCATGTCCAATACTAGAAATTGAATATCAGGGACATTTCTTTCATGGAAAGTTAAACATATGGCATAAATAGATGTGAATGTGGACATCTAAGTCCCTGAAGTATGCATTAAATATAATATGAACTCAGGTTTCCAAAAGTGATCTGTAAACTGTAGTACATGCTATTTAAAGTAATGTATATATAAATATATTTTTGTACCTTTAGAAGTTCTCATATGGGGGTTTAATTATATCGCGCTGTACAAATCTAATTATAAAACTTCTCTTCCTCTCAGCGTCCTACTAAAACCAATGTCAGGCTGAAGCAAGTCACTGGTGTTGTGGCCTAGATTTTAAACAAGACAGGTTGAAGGTTTTTAGTGTTTTTGTAAATATGAGGATTTGTGCTATGCAAATATTATTGTGTGATTACATGTGTAATATTACATGATGGCTGATGTGTATTTTGCAGTACTGATACAGTAGTGGTTGAAATTGTTTAAGC